ACAATAACCTGATATTTTAAATATTTTCTAATTGTATTTACATTGTTGTGATTAATTGTGGCTGGAACAATAATGTAGCTGTAAAAATAGTTGCCTGCTGAAATTTAAATGTATTCATTTAAATCTTCATCATGACTAGATAAACACGGTGAGTTTGTCTTTACTTTACACGTTAGATGTGATCCACCTCATAGTAACAATCCTGTCAGATCATCCATCCTTTGAGTGAGAGTGTAATGTTACAGGTCGGATGATCTGGTTTCGTGGTTAAAGTTAACCTTTTCGACATGTTTCCATGATGTTGTCTGGGGGTTTGGCAAAAGGAGAGTGGGACGGTGGGCAGTGCTCGGGGTGGTGACTGTAGTTCTGACGTCAACTTTTTACGGAAGTCACAACGGTTTGTGAAAAATCACAGCTACTTTAAGCATGCTGTGTGAATTTTACTGTGGACTGACTGTTTTGAAACTTATATGGTAGTTACATAGCACCTAGACCTCAGTTATGATTAAAAAAGCCAGGCAATTTCAGTTTTGACAATATGGGACCTTTAACGCATTGTTAACATGTTGATAGTTTATTTTACCATGGTACTAGCATGTTGTAAACATGTTTTACCACATTCCTACATGTTTTACCATTTACTACCATTTTGCTAACATGTTTTTAACACATTTTAACATTTTGCTAATGTGTTTTAAAATGTTGCTAACATATTACTAAATTGTGTCTAGCATGTTTTATAAGCTTAGCATGTTGATAACATGTTTGTTGACATGTTAACAACATGGTAAAAATGAGCTAAAACACGTTTTGTCCACACACTGATATAACTGCTCCATAAAATTATTTTATTGCTGCAATGTTTCGACCATCAGGTCTTCGTCAGGCACACATTAAGTGAACTGGGGTGCAACTCTTTATAGGTAACAGGTGGTCATCCTAATTAGACACACGTTCAATCATAAATGCAGGTATACTCCGACAAAGAGAGGAAGAAAAAAAAGGCAATACAAGTCAAATTCAAATCAATAACCACTCCTCAAAATATTTGGACAATATTAAAAACAGGTGAAAAAATATACACAATCTTATAAGAAAGGCTTACAGTTTTTTTTTTAATTGCTTAGACACTAAAAGTGATACTTGAGGCCCACTTAATGAAACCAATCACTCATATACCTAATCTTTAGACCAAGTCTGCAGAACTACAAACACATTACATGCTTTAAACTCTGTTGTAAAACAAACTTTTTGCAAAAATCTAAAGACAATTCTCTACATTACACACATCATTCGAAACTAACAGCTCTTTTATTTAATTTGGGAAACACTGCCTTTTAATGCCACACTCATTTACTGATGACCTACACACAGTGATCATGTGTGAAAACACTTATACAAACCCGATTCCAAAAAAGTTGGGACACTGTACAAATTGTGAATAAAAACAGAATGCAATGATGTGGAAGTTTCACATTTCAATATTTTATTCAGAATACAACAGATGACATATCAAATGTTTAAACTGAGAAAATTAATATAAGTTTATGAGATTTGTAAATTATTCCATTCCTTTTTTACTCACAATTTGTACAGTGTCCCAACTTTTTTGGAATTGGGTTTGTACATTAGTTTTTTCACTTAGTAATCAAAACTCAGCTTTTTTTTTTTTTTTTAAAGAAATAATTTTTACCCCCTTGCATTTCTGTTTACATTGTATCTATATTGTACAAGCGCTTTGTAAATAAAGCTGACTTTCTGACTTGGCTTATATGCATATTCAGTGTGTGTATAAATACACTCTCAGAAATAAAGGTACAAAAGCTGTAATGTACACTTTTGTACCTATTAGGTTCAAATATGTACACTTTAAGTACTAATATATATACCTTTAATGGCTCGTTTCCACTGAGTGGTACGGTACAGTACAGTTCAGTACAGTACGATTTGGTACGGGTAACCCTGATCCAGCTTGCGTTTCCACTGCCAATATTACCCTTCTTGATAGGTGTAGTGTATGTCGGAAAGTAGCAATCGACGATAAAGCGCGACAATAAGCACAACTCTGCCTCTTTTTGTTAAATGTCAGTTTTAATGAACAATAATAGCCATTATAAAAGTATAAGTACAAAGTATAAGAGGCTTCTATAAGAGGAAATAAAGACAAAAGCAAACAATTAAGTCAAACGTATGCTACAAAGTCAGCGCTGTACTACGGTAAAGTTCAAAATAAATATATAAATTTAAACAACTTTGTGCTCAGCCACAACGATATGACCAGGAGTAAATAATAGATTCATGAGACCACGAATGCCTGTTAAATATAGCCTACCCAAAACAAATTGTATCTCGTGTTTAATCACTACAGAGACATCAGAGCCAGCGGCAAATGTCGAAAGGACTAGCCGAACTAAAACTGCTCTATGCAGATACATGAGCACTGAGCGCCCGCTGATCGCCTGGAGCTCCAAAATCAGCATAGCAAATTTTCAAATAGGTACTATCTTTATAAATAAACCACAGATTTGAGTTTTAAACAATTACATTCTCGCCTGAAAAACACTTAAAACTACTTTTCATTTCATGACACAATAACAGTAATATTTAGAAAATTACACAGGTTTTTGGGCAATGACGTTTCACAAGTCCACAAGAACAGACAAGAACACATATTGAGAAACGGCTATTGTCTGTGTGAAAATATTAAATTATAAAATACACGTTATATATGTGTGGAAAAGTCTGAAAGAAATCACCAACTACAAGACACCATCCCCCAGCACTGTGGAGAATCAACAACTGGCAGACGATCTGAATGAGTTCTACTGCAGGTTTAAAAAAACACCCCAAACCCGCCCTGAACACCTCTCCACACAACCATTCACACCTCATATATCTATATATATATATATATATATATATATATATATATATATATATATATATATATATATATATAATAAACACATAATCATTTCACACCTAATACATTTAATACATACTTCCAACACTTAAAATACAAACAGAAACACCTATTCATACTAGACAATGGTTTTGCCAGCTTCCGGTTGCGCTGCGCCGACGCAACCAAGCCCGTGATGTCATAATTGGCCACCACTCGTTCGTTCGGTTTGGC